GCGGCTCAGCCGTAGAAATGCTGCGACCGGTGCACCACCCCAGGTAACATCAGGCTCCTTGGCCAAGTGGACAGGCTATTTCTGGAGGCTCATCGGCTCTGGGATGAATGATCTGATTCTCCCTGTAGCCTAGATTGTGGCACAAGCCCATCTCTGCAGTTAGAAGTGAAGGGAAGCAAGAGGTGGCATCTCTGCTTCCTGCTGGGGCTGTGGCTGGTTCATTTCCTGTTAGCTTCTTCTCAGCTAAGAAAAAAATAAGTGGGGGGGTGGTGCTGAGAAGAGGAGGTTTTGGAAGAAAAGTGGAGACTGGAAAATCCTCCAGGCCTTCTTGATGAGGTTTAAGACTCACATGTGATGTGTGAGATGAGTTGGCCAGGAGTCAGAGCTCCGAGAAAGTGCTGCGTTGGTCCTTTTGGGGTTTTGCACACCAACCCTGCCGGCTTCAGCAGTGGAGCATGAAGTTCTTGGCGAGGCTGGAGACCCAGCTGGAAAACTGAGGGGGCTGGGACGTAGGGGGCTGGGTGGGTCTGGGCCATAACACCCCCACCCCTGCTCTTCCCCAGGGAGGGCAGAAACCCTGTATGGGTGGCCTTGGCTAAACGTCTGCTTGGAGCAGGAAGCAGGGCTGGGACAGAGGACCTTCTTGTGGCTGGAAGCAGCCCAGAGCCCACATGAAAGTGAAGGACAGTGGCACACTCCGGTGGGGCTTTGCTCTAAGCCGCCCCTGCGCAGCAGCCAGGGGGGGACAGCATCGGACAGTCTGACAAAGCAGCCCTGCCTCTGGGGTGAGGGGTCAGCACCCCACCCTCCTATCTCCCGCCTGTACTCCATCTAACCCCTTGGTGTCTCTACCTCCCTCTGAATATGTGGTTAATTGTGTCTCCCTGGTGGGATTGTTGAGAGGGTTAGAAGGAACATGTGCACATTCTGGGGCAAAAAGGAACTGACCCAAGTAACTTTGGAAAATGGTGTTTTCAACTAGAAACTGTAAGGCTAAAGGCAAAAGGAACTGTGTGTAAACACTGTACTCTAGTTGGTAAAGTAGTTTCCCAAGGGCTAACAACTTTGAAGCTGTTATACCTGCATACTGGGGTTGAACAAGTGGGTAAATGGACAGTGGGTGGTGGGAGCCTTCCTCCCAAGTAGTGCTGGGGGAGCCACAGCGCTCAGCTGGGCCAGGATGGTGCACTGCAGTCCAGACGCTGGTCGGTGAGCTGTCTCACTAGAACATACTTAAACATTGCATTGAAAATCAAAGTCTGCTGAATTACTATGGCTGAGTAACAGATTGCCCCCAAATCAGTGTGTGAATCTATGCTCACAGTTTCTGAGGGTCAGGAATTCAGACAGGAGATGGCTGAATTCAGAGGTGGTGGCTTACCTCTGCCCTGAGATGCCTGGGGCCTCAGCTGGCAGATTCAAAGGCTGCAAGTTGGAATCATCTGAAGACTGGTTCATTCACATGTCTGATGGCTGGCTAGGACCTTTGCCGGAACTGTTGGCTGGAACACCTCTATGTGGCCTGGGCTTCCTTACAATGTGGTGGCTGAGTCCAAAGGAGAGTGGAGAGAGAGAGAGAGAGACAGAGAAGGAACCCAGAGGAAGTCATATTGTCTTTTATGACCTAGCATTGAAAGTCTCCAAGCCTCACTCCTCTACATTCTGTTGGGGGAGGTAGTTAAAAAGTCCACTCTGGTTCAGGAAGAGGGACCCTGTCTCTTGATGGAGGACTGTCAACTTCACACTGTAAGAAGATCACATGGGATGGGAGCATTGGTGTGGCCATTTTTGGAAAATACCTACAATCTCCCATAGCCCCTCCTAATTTTTTTCCCTTTCCCTGAGATCACCACTGTTCCCAGTGAGTTGTGATTATCTCCTCTGTGCCTTTGCATTCATAGACAGTATAGACTTGATTTAGGGCTTTTGGGGGAGGGGATACATATTTAGTTTTTATATAAGTGGAATTCCCTTACATCTTGTTTTTTTCACTTAACATGGATTTACTTATTAGTACATGTAGATCTCTTTGTTGCAGTATAGTATTCCACAGTTTGGTTATGTTGTAATTTATTTAACTACTTCTTTATTTTGATGGATCTTTGAAAAGTTTCCTTTTATTTTCTAGTATGGTTAATACTGTAATAAATATTTCTTGATGTGCTATTTCACCCACATACACAAAATGTGAACGTTTCCCAGGAAGGAGGTGTTAAGTAAATTGCTGAGTTGAAAGAGCCCACTTTTTAAAAAAAAATATTTATTTATTATCATTTTTATTTGGCTGAATTGGGCCTTCATTGCTGCACCGCAGGCTTTCTCTAGTTGCAGAAAGAAGAGGCTACTGTTCGTTGGTGCACGGGCTTCTCATTGCATTGGCTTCTCTTGTTGTGGAGCACGGGCTCTAGGCACACAGGCTCAGTAGTTGTGGCTCGTGGGCTCTAAAGCGCACGCTCAGTAGTAGTGGGGCATGAGCTTAGTTGCTTCGTGGCATGTGGCAACTTTCCAGACCACGGCTCGAACCTGTATCACTTGCACTGGCAGGTGGATTCTTAACCACTACACCACCAGGGAAGCCCTAAAAGAGCCCATTTTGAATTATAATGGGTGCGACCAAATTTCCTTTGAGAGAGGCAAGTCATGCACTTACCAGTAGAGTGTAAATGTGTTCATTTCCTTTTGTTCTCACCAGCACTTAGCAACCGTCAATCTTTTAAATTCTTGCTTGCCTTGTGGGTGAAAACAATATACTATATAGCATGTGTTTTTAATTTGTAGTTTCCTTCCTAGAGTTAGGTTGAACATCTTCTCATATGCTTATCAGCCATCTGCCCTTGTTCTCCTGGGAATTGCCTGTTCATTTCCTTTACTGAACTGTTCATTTCAGTTTTACTGAAAAGCAGAGAAATGCAAATGTAAACAGTGAGATGTTTTTTTTTGGCAATGAAATTAAAAAACATTGACATGTATACGCTGATGTGTATAAAATTGATGACTAATAAGAACCTGCTGTATAAATAAATAAATAAAATAAAATTTAAAAAATAATAAAAAAGATGACAAAGATTCTCAGTGCTTGTGATTGATACATTTAAGTTTAGAAAAGCCACCCTATAATTACAAATGTTAACTTATATTTTCTTTCTAAACATTTTAAATTAAAAAGCAACCCCAGAGCCATAAAAAATAGTCTTAGTTGTCTTATATGAGGTGATACCAAAGTTGATTTTTTTAAAAGTGAATAAAAGTTTTCAGCATCATTTTTTTTTTCTCCCAGACTTTTGTTATTTACTTTATCTCTTAAATTCAAATACGTCATGTGATCTTTTTCTGGACTATCTTTGTTTTCCATTGATTTAATTTTTGTGCTAGTACCCCTTGTGTAAAGGCAAGTCTCTTAATTTATTAGGCAAGAAAGAATACATTTGCAGTGTTTCCTCTTCCTGCCAGGGAACATTGTCTCTTTGTAGGTGCAAGTGTGACTTTCCATTGCTCAGTAAAGCTCTGTGGTATTTTGCTTTACATAGTGGCTTCTAGTTCTGGAGAGGAGTATATTCCTAGATGCTGGCTGTGCCGGTGGTGTTGGTGTTGCTTTCAGGATATTGGGATTGTTTTCAATCTATCACCTTTTGAGCTGTTGAGAATTTGAGATCCAGAGGAATCGAGTTGGTGAGACTGAGCAGGGGTTGGGGGAATATGGGGAGAAGTGTTTTGGAGGAAGTGTCTTCAAATCCTAAGACATCCTGGAGCAGAGAGAGACGGCAAGCTGGAAGATGTGCCAGAGTGATTGTGTGTGGAGTAAGGTTTGTGCAGGTGGAGAAGCAGGAGGGGACTCTGAGTTGTGGGGTAAGAACCAGCCTGCCTTGGGGCTACAGGGATCTGAGGGGTAGAAAGAAGGCAGCTCCCCTAGGCAGGCAGGCCCCTGTCAGCTCATCCAAATACTGTCCAACGTGTTCATCATTTATTTATTCATTAATCTGACAATTATCTCTAGAATGCTTGTTAATGTGTCAGTGTATTCCAGATGCTAGGGATATAGAGGAGGAAATGAATGACGTCTCTCTCCTCTGGAGCTGACATTTAGGAAGAAGCAGATGAATGCAGGGAAGTTGTTATGTATATACATGCATATGTTATAGAGTCTGAGGGTGATGGATGCTAGGTGGCTCTGATAGGTGCTGTTTCAGCAGAGATTGCAGTGACAGAGTGAGCCATGCGGGCCCTAGGGGAGGGCACCCCTGGCAGAAGGTAGGGCAAATGCAAAGCCCAGAGGCAGGAGCATCCCTGGTATGTTTGAGTCGCTGGAGCTGAGCGAGGGTGAGCACAGAGAGGGGAGACTTGAGGAGGTGCCTGGGGACGCAGGCCACGGAGCTCCAAGAGCCCTAATGAGGCAGCAGTGGCGACTCTGGAGTAGTGGGGGGGAGGCAAGATTTCAGGTCACCTGCTGCTGCCACAGTTCAAGGTAGGCCCACTTTGATGTTGGGCGATGATAGTATGTGTGTGAGCATGTATGTGGTTAAGTGAATATGGTCTGAATTTGTATGTGTGTGTATATGTTTCTGCATGTTTAAATGTGTGTTTATGTATGTTTGAGTGTATGTGTGCCTGAGTGATTATGTGTGTGTCGGTATGAGTATACATGTGTTCACATGTGTGTAAGTGTCTATGTGTGTGTGTTTAGGTGTTTGTGTCTATTTGTGTGTACATGTGTTTATACGTGTGTGTGTCTGTGCTTTATGTTTGAGTCCCTGACAATACACAAAGCAGGAAAGGTCCCGACAGGGAATGAGATCCTGGTGGGGAGCCTCTCTTGGCATCCTGGCTGGGTCTTCGTCCTTGCCATGGGTCACAGAACAGACCAGTGTCACTGATGAGGTCACAGAATAAAGCCAGGAGCCTAGTGACCATGGATGCCTAGAGGCCACTCGCCTGGGGCCAGCGGAGGGCTTCAGCACTGCCCGAGCCAACTCTCACCCAACAGCTGGAGCTCTGAGTCCCTGGGCGCTGGTGTCATCATGAAGCGTCACTTCACGGACCATAGGGGAGGACAGTCACCAACGGACGGGACCATCCTCAGCCTGGCCAGCCCAGGGTCCGTGGAGGAGAGTGTGGAAGTGCACTGGTCATGTAGGTCGAAAGAAGGGGTGTGGCTGATGTGTCCCTGAGAGGTGGTCCTGGAGGGGATGGGGAGGGGAGGGCACCAGATTGCCCCTTGGTGCTGTCACCAAAGTGCTTTGTTGACCATAAAAATGGACATGGGTCTGACTGAGGCCGCTGTTGTGAGCACATGGGGTGATTTCAGAAGGTATGAGGATGAAATCCTAAAATGTTAGTCATGTATTTTAATGTGCTTTGAAAAAAACAGAATTGACACGTCAGTTGTGTGATTTCAGCAGTGATGTAAAAAATTCCTTTATAATAAATAGATTAAAGTTAATCTAGAACATCAATTTGAAATGACCATGGGCAGCACCTAAGGGTCACACCGGCTCTTGGGACTGAGTGACCGGCACCAGCTCTGGCTCCATCAGTCATTTCAATGCTCTGTGCCTCAGTTTCTTAATTTGTCAAAAATCATAACAATGGAATTTCTTAGGTTTTTTTTTTTTAATATTAAATGAGTTAAAATGTGGCAAGCACTTAGCACTTATACGGTGACGGGATCCAATGGATGTTCAAGGAAAGGGTGAGATGCCCCTGGGGGAAGACGAGACATGTTACAAATGCCAAGGGGAAGGTTGGGCTGAGTGGCCTGGCCAAAGCACTTCCCAAGTCTGGCTTCCTAAACTGGCTTTATTGAGCTGTGATTTAAATACACAAACCTCACCGATTTTGTGTACAGTTTGAAGAATTCTGACTTGTACACATTTGTTTAACCACCACAAAGGTCATGATGCAGAATATTTTCATCACCCTCTAAAAGTTCTTAGTGACCCTTTGCAGTCAGTTCCCCTGCCGCCCTTAGCTTCAGGTAACCCCTGTTCTGTTCTCTCTCCCTATAGTTTTGCCTTTTCTAGAATGTCATCTAAATGGAATCAAATACTCTATGACCTTTTTACCCTGAGTTCTTTCATTTAGCAGAAGGCGTTAGAGACTCATCCAGGTTTTGCATGTAACAGTAGTCTATTCCTTCTTATCAACGAAGAGGATTGCCCTGTGTGGGGTGTCCCACAGTCTGTATTCAGCAGTTGATGGCCTTTTCGGGTTTAGTCAAGTGCTTGGATGTTACATTCATACATTATTTGATCCCCGTCATCACATCCATAACTTTAAGATATATCTGTTTATACATTTGATCTTTATCCTCGTCCCAAGAGAAAGGCATTTCATCCCCACTTTATGGGGAAACAGGCACAGGGAGCAGAAAGTACCTGCCCAGGGGCCCCTGGAGCCTGCATCCTTTCAGAGACCTGAGGTGGGTTGTGGCACGGATTCCTCAGCACCGATGCAAATGTCCTTCCACCTCCCAGGGACCTCTAAGAGAGAGGAGCCGTCTCCGCGGCCCGGCCTGGCCGTTCCCCGCGAGGAGGACATCTACTTCTCAGGCAAGGGTCGGGGCATGCTGGGCTGGAGCAGCTCGCCATCGTCCCGGCCCTCCTCCGAGTACCAGTCCTACTCCCAGTACCAGTCATGCTCTTCCAGCACGTGTGGTGGCGAGGACACTGCCCGGCAAAGCATGTGCGCCTTCTACACCCATGTGAAGACGGTGCAGGGTGTGGCCGTGGCCTGGGAGACCGACTGTGGCTTTGAGCCGGTCAGTCGGCAGCCCCGCATCCATGAAGCAGAGTTCATCAAGAGGCAGAGGCGGAAAGGCTCCTCCTTTGAGATGGCTTCCAACACCGACCTGCGCTGGGAACTGGAAGATGGCAAGAACAACACCTGCCCAGAGCCGGACGACACGGAGGTGCTGGTGCCCCTGGAGTGCTGCCTGCAGGAGCTGCGGGCCACCCCGGACTGGCTGGTCACCACCAACCACGGGCTGCGGTGTGTGGCCTGCTGCCGGGTCTTCCCCACGCTGGAGGTGCTGCTGGAGCACGCCCAGTATGGCATCCAAGAGGGCTTCAGCTGCCAGATCTTTTACGAGGAGTTGCTGGAGAGAAGGTGGGCCCGGGGCCAAGTGCAGGAGCAAGAGCCAGAGGAGGAGGGACAGAGCGCTTCGGACAGTAGTGAAAGTCCAAGACCCCATGTCAAGTTGCTTCCGCCACAGTCACGGTCAGAGAAGCAATGAGCTGGAGGTGATGTGCCCCGCCCTGCTCTCACCTCCGGCACCGCAGCTGCTCCTTTCCTGGCCATCAGGACCACAGCCACGGGTGCAAGGAGAGAGGATGAGGGCTGGGGAAGGAAGCGTGCCGAGATGGGAGGGCCGTGAGAAGGGACGGGGAACGCACCCTCCAAAGGGCACAGCGTTTCAGCTAGAGTCCATTTCAAAACCCGAATCAAGTGTTTCTGACTGTGGGTGCAAGACCTGAAGCCCGCAAGCGTGGGGCCAAGGCAATTCTTAATTTTTCTGGTGGGTCTAGCGGGTCGTGACTCATAGGAGAGCCAACTGCAAATGAAGCATCAGCCCTATTTTTTTCATTGTTAGGAACTCATCACAGGTCCTAGTTCTATGTCTTATTTTAATGGGATTAAGCTTGAATAACTCAAAGTTTAAGGCAATGACTAACTGAGTGACTCATGTTATTGGACCCACCGGAAATTGCCATTTCTGAAGGTTACACACTGGCACGGACATCCCGAGACAGCAGGTTCCCAGAGGTACAGATGGGGGCTGGGTAAGTCCTGCTCATGCATGAGTTCAGATATGTCAACTCTGTTTTAAAATGTTGCTACAGAATTTTTCTTTGCCCTTACAGGGGGCTGCATTCATTCAAGAAAATACATGGATGGCCCACTGTGTGTTAGGCATACTGATGAGACATGTACCCCAATCGTGCAGTGAGAGGCAGGTAGGACAGACAATTGCAAGCCAAGGGGATGAATCACCTAAAGGAGGTTTGGGGAGCCCAGCGGAGGGCCCCCAAACTCATGCTGATTGTGGAGGAAGGAAAACGTTCCAAAGAGGTAGGTGCTCACAAAGGCTGGGAGGACAGGTAGAGTCAGTGAGAACCAGGAGTTTTCTTCAGAGTCATTAAAACTAAGAAAGGTTGTTTCTAGGAGCGGGTGAGCCCTGTTAAAGTGAGTGAGTGGGAGTGAGCTGAGGGTAAAATGTTTCCTTTCGTTTGGCACATGGAGGCTGCTGATGGCTGTGATGAGAGCAGTGCCAGGGACTGAGGGTGGCAGAGGCCAGGCGGGCATGGGGCAGTAGTGGGCGCACAAAGAACCGCTGGACACAAACATTAGACAGCTCTGCTGGCAAGCTTGTCTGAAAAGGAAAGCAATGATGGCTTAGCTGGACAAAAGGAGACTACAAAAAGGCAAAGACGGGGAGAGAGCACGTTTATTTGTAGTGGGCATGATCCGAAAGAGAGAGGGAGGCAGAGAATGCAAGAAAAATGGGGAAAGAAGAGCCAACTAAGAGGAGGCTGGATCCTGACCAGATACGGAGAAACCAGCCCCTGACGAGAGAAACTTCATGTTCTCTGTCGTAGGCGGGTGGGCAGTTAGGTCAAGTAGGGTTTGGGATCCAAGAGGATGGAACTTGAATTTTTTTCCCCTGAAAACTGCAAGGAGCTCCTGAGGAATGTTCAGCAAATCAGGTTGGCCTTTGTGAAAGATCTCTGTGGTGAGCAGGGTCAAGAATGGATGAGAGAGCATCACTGGTGCCAAGGAGCGCAGTTGAAGAGCTGTATGCAGGGTGAATTCAAAGAGATTTAGGAGATGCGAATCACAGGTTTGGGCTAGTGTTTGATGAGGGTGGTAAGAGGAAGTTGTCCACAACAACTTCCAAGTTTTTTTTTTTTACCTGAGTGGTTGGTGAATGTGGGTTCCATTTTGGAGCACCAAAGGACAAGATTTGCCGGGATGCCCATGAGCCCACTTTTGAATAAGCTCAGTTCATGATAGAAACCTTTGGAAGGGAGCTAGTTAGAAGGATCTGGGGCTTTGAAGAGTGTTAAACGGGATGGAGATAGATTTGTGGTCATCTGTGTATGTGTGGTTACCATGGCCCTTTCCGTGGCCTTGTGTTAGATGCATTCCCTGTACCAGTCCCAGTGCAGCAGAAGCTATGGGATCATTTTGGAATGGATGTCAACCGTGGGGATGATATTGCAGCACCATTTTCAAGATGCAGCAGAGTCACAGACTTTCTCGATTCACTGTGAATAGGGCTGGAGGACCTTCAGGAAGAAAAGAAAGGATAGGACAATGGTCCAAACTTTGTCAAGCTCTTCTGAGAAGAGCTATGTGGTGTTGGAGGGAGCTCAGTAGGCAGGTAGAATCCAAGGACTATCTAAGGGGAGAGGAGGCAGCTGAACCAGAAATAGTGAGCACTGGTGAGGAGGAGAACATTTCTATTTAGAAATCAGGTGCAGAGGGAACAAAATAAGGCAGGGCATCTAGGCTCTGGAATTTCAGCCTTTAAAAGACAAGTGCATTTATGTGTTAAACATGGATATTCTAAGGGCCAAGCATTGTTCTAAACACTTTATGAATAATAAGTCATGTAATGCTCTCCACAAACCAATGAGGTGGGTCCTAGGTGAGTCCTAGGTGTTTTATAGGTGAGTAAGCTAAGACCTTGTCAAGGTCATAGAGCTGGTGTACAGCAGAATCAGGCTTCACACCCAGGCAGCCTGGTTCCAGAGCCTACGCTCTAACCATCACACGAAGAAGCAAAATTTTAACGTAAAGACAGATGCGAGATATTCAGAATAGCAAACATGTCAGCTCCACGGGTTGTATTTTCTTTAGATTAAGTAGTAGCAGCTGCAGACAGGGGGAAAGATGATGGGCATTAAGGACAAACGAAAGATGACAAGAACATTGGGGAAACAAATTTTTAATGTAGAGGATGACTTCAGCTGACATGGATGGAGGAAGGAGGGGATAAAATTGTTCTTCAGATAGTGACTTATTTTTAAAACATATCTCAAACTCAGCTGAGGTAAGTATTCATTCATGGTTTAAACTCATCACTTTGTAGAGACCTGGGACCTCCACCAAATAAGACAAGGATCAGGGTGAGTAAGGGGAACCTTTCCAAAGGATCAAGGGACCTCAAACATTTTAGATCTTGAACCACTTTACACCCTTTATTTTCCCAAACTACAGAAAGAGACGGAACTTATTTTATGAAATTTACAGAAATGTGACAACAAAGCCTGACAAAGATGGCACTAAAAGAGTAAACAATATATTGATCTCACTTATAAACACAAAACGATATCTAATCAAATTTATAGAGTGTGAAAATAACAATTCACCATGATTTGAGTTTGGGGCATCTCATGACTGTAAAGACAGAAATTGTTAAATCTAACAGTACTTCATATTGAAAGAAGGATCTTATGATAGTCTTAGTAGATATTAAAAAGAAAAATATTCAAAAATAACCCCATACATTTATGGTCAATTGTTTTTCACCTATGGTGCCCAGATAATTCTACGGGGGAAAGAATAATCTTTTCAGCAAATGGGCTGGGACAACTGGATATCTGTATGCAAAACAGTGAAGCTGGATTTCTACCTCATACCACATATACAAATTAAAATAAAAAAGATCTAAGTGTAAGAGTTAAAACTATAAAACTCTTAGAGGAAAACAGAGGTGTAAATCTTCATGACCTTGGATTAGGCAATGATTTCTCTTAGATATGACACCAAAAGCACAAGCACACAAAAATTATATAAATTGGGCTTCGTCAAAATGAAAAACTTTTGTGTTCAGAGGATACTATTAAGAAAGTGGAAAACAATCCACAAAATGGGAGAAATAGTTGCACATCGCATATCTGATAAAAGTCTGGTATCCAAAATATGTAAAGAACTCTTACAACTCAACAATAAAAAACAAGTATCCCAATTTAAAAACGAGCTAAAGATTTGAAAAATATTTCTTCAGAGGAGATATACAAATGACTAATAAGCATATGAAAATACACTCAACGTCATTTGTCTTTAGGGAAATGCAAATCAAAACTACGTGAGAAACCCACCAGGATGGCTATAATAAAAAAGAACATAAGAAGAAGAGTTGGTGAGGATGTGGAGAAATTGGAACCCTCGTACAATGCTGGTAGGAATGTAAAATGGTGTAGCCACTTTAGAAGACATTCTGGCAGTTCCGTAAAAAGTCAAAAATAGAGTTACTATACAGCTCAGCAATTCTGATAATTGAAAACAAATGTCCACACAAAAACTTGTACATGAATATTCATAGCAACATTATTTCTAATACAAAAAAGTGAAAACAACCTACATGCCCATCAAGTGATGAATGGATAAACAAAACTATTCAGCCATAAAAAGAATTCAGTACTGATCTATGCTATAACGCGAATGAACCTTGAAAATATTATTCTAAGTGAAAGAAGCCAGACACAAAAGGCTACAAAATGCATTATTCTATTTATATGAAATTTCCAAACAGGCAAATTTATAGAGACAGAAAGCAGATTGATGGTTGCCTGGGATTCAGGGAAAGGAGAGGAACGAGAAGTGACTGCTAATGGATATGGGGTTTCTTCTTGGGGTGATGAAAGCATTCTGAAATTAGATAGCAGTGATGATTACCCACTTTGTGAATAGCCTATAGACCACTGAATCGCATGCTTTAAAGAGCTGAATTTTATGGTATGCAAATTATATCACAATTAAAAATGTAGTAAATACAACAATAATTCCTATATTATTTTTAGAACTAAGGATAGAAATTTTCTTCAGATGATATATTTATCTTAAACCAAGTAGCAAAAAATCTACAAATGTTCCCATTGAAATCAGATAAAATATGTCATCTATTACAATTTTTTATTTAACATCATTCCGGAGGTTACAACCAATTCAATAAAACATGAAACAGAAATGTTATATATAATGGACAGAAAATTCTGTTCGTTTTTTTAGAAAAAGACAATATACTTACCTTGGAAACTCAAATGAATTTCCAAAAAAAAGAGGTAATCGAAGGATTGAGACAAAATATATATCAAAAGATTTCCTATGTACTAAATGTGACTGATTAGGAAATAACATGGAAAATATTCCATTCACTAGATACACAGATATTCTTGGAAATATTGCAAGTGCAATGAAACCTCACAGTGATTATCTCCAGTTGATAAT